GCTCACACTTGAACTTCGGCCGTGAGGCGTACAGATGCTATGGACCGCCAAGTGGTGTGTGCAGCACGCTGCCCTCAGAGGGAAACGATGTTGCCGCACCCAGCTGAGGCTGGCGGACGACAGTTTGAACGTGGCGACGGATGGTGGGGAGCCCCTGGAGACGTCATCACTACAGACCGGCGTCCCGAACCACGTTTGGCAAAAGTGAACTTAACTCGTGGTCCCTAATTACAGAATGGATGCACCAGCCACGCCACAGACCCTCCGGAGGGAGAGATGAGTCACTCGTTCCCAGAGGACCTTCTAAGGAAGAGATCAGGAAGGTGAGACAGTACTTTCTACATCCGTTTGCTGAAAGGCTGTCGTTTAAGTTGTAAGATTAGAAAGAGATCTCTAAGAAACATGGTAACGAGAGTGGTATTTCTGAGCTAAAAACACGAGCATTCCATCGAGAACCCTTTCCCACCACTCCTGAGAGCACGCTGTCCCTGCACCTGGGCTGCCGTCCCCTTGTACACCAGCCCCAGCTCACTCCTACTCAGTGTCCTGCTCGACATCAGCACCCCTTCCTCCAGGAAGCCTTCCCAGCCACCCCTCAACCGTTTGTGCCGGGTTTCTTCCTGCGTGCTTTCCATGCCCCTCACCGTGCATGCCAGTTGTATGTTTGTGCACCTTTACTCCACACCAACACAGAAGTGCCGCCTTCGCTCACTGGCTCACCTCCTGGCAGGGGCCTGGCACCAGCCCGACGCTCAGGGAACATGTGGAAGGAATTCATAAACACTTTGGATGCCAAGAACCCAGCACGCTTCTCCGTCTACCCTTCTTCTGCCGGCCTTCACACTTGACAGTGGACTTCACAGTGCCGGTCACAACTTACTGAAGGCTGCACACAGTGCAAGGGGGGAGGAATGGAACCAGTGCTTAACCTTCAGTCACCACTGCAAGCAGAGCCAGGGAGTCAGGCAGATGCAGAGCCCACCAAGTGGGCTGATCTTATACTCAGTTTGCTTAGCCATAAAATGCAGACAAAACCTCCCACAAAAGTACCATGAGGACTCAAGTGCCTTCACTTCCAAACACACAGGCTCAGTAACTCTGCCTTCCATTGCTTCTTCCCCTGGGAAGCACGCTGCTCCTTCGTGCTCCTGAGGACACATGCTCCTCTCCTGGGTGAGATGAGGTCACCCCTTTCTACCAGGAGGGGAGGAGCAGTGCAGGCACCCTAACAACCTAAGAGGACTTGAGTTGGTCCCTCTCCTGGAGTACGGGCCACCCTTGAAAGGAAGTCAAATGCCTCTTGATCCAGGGCTGCCTGGGTTCTGGGAAGAGCAGGAGCAAAGCCTCACGAGTCCCAGGACCGTGGCCTTTCATCACAGAGCAGGCTGCAGGCTGTGCCATCTCCAGCAGCAAGTGCTCCATCCACCCACTTCACAGGCAGCAGTGGGAACAGCTCACGCAGGTGGATGGATAAACGAGTCACCGAGGGGCAGAGCCCGACCCTCTTCGGAGCGGCCACGCCTGGCCACCGAGAAGGCTTCTTCAAGAGTGGGCACAGCCTGAGGTACGCTGGGGACGGCTCCTCATGGGGGAAGGCAAGAGGCAGGAGACTGGTTGAGCTGAGGACTCCGGGAAAGGACAGGGCACTGAGGAGACAGCCTGGGTCCACAGGGACAGCACCCGTGGCCGAGGTCTGCCAGGCGCTTTCCGGTGCTGCCAGGTAAGGTTCAGCCACCTCTGCTTCCTCCGGCAGAACGATCTGTGAGCACTGGGACGCCCTCCCCAGAGGTAGAGCACGCGTCTGACCTGATCCAGGCAAGGCCAGAGACGTCTGCACAGAGGAAGGGAAGTACCTCCCTGCTGCCCCACAAACACTAGGCTCCCCGGCACTCACCACCGGTTAGCGGGGACAGCAGGACCAGAGCCAGAGATGACTTCTGACCTCTGGTTTACCAGTCCCCCCGCAGGCCAGCAAGATGTCCCGTCAGGCTGGCGCCCGGCTGTGGGAGACACCCGTCACCTCGTCACGCCTAGCTACTGTGCTGGGGAGGGGGGGTCACCTGTTCACACGGGCCCTGCCGGAGCACCGCAGAACAAGTCCTCCAAGTATCAATATTTACTGGGTGAATACTTCATGAATGAATAAAGAATGTGTGAGCTGGGAGCACAGAGAAATGTGAATTTAAGAAAAAAGGTCAATAATGAGGATGCCTGAAGCCCAAGACTAATTTGTGATTATTTGTGAGATTGCCAACATCATTCAGCCTTCCACCGATGAGAACGATCCAGCTGAGAACAAGTTTAACGATTTATAATTTGTAACAACCGGTTTCATGTCAGTGTCATAAGACAACCAGATTTACGTCCTCTGGGATCTCAGACCACATCAAAACATCTGGACAAAGACAGGTGGAGAGCAGCACAGGGCCCAGGCAGCTGTGGGTGGTGGAGACCCCAGGGGCTGCACGCACGCCCTACAAAGGAGCCAGTCCTACGCCAGGCGCCAGACCCTGGGCTTGGCCTCCGAGGCCCATGTGCAGGAGCACAGGAGCCCCCACACGGCAAGTCCTCTGCAGGGGCCTAGACAGCGAGATCTCCAGGGGGGAATGCCCCCAAGTCACCGGGCCTCAAGCTGCCGGCTATCAGCCCCAGCGGTCCTGTACTAGGGGCCACAGGGCCTGACCCCGCATTCACAGGCATCATTAACAATAAGTGCATTAAATGGCAACACTCTGAAGCAACCTCAGAGTGGATTAGCGACGGAAATGGATAAAGTGGTGTATTCATGCAACAAAATATAAATAGCAGTCGAAAGGAGAGAACTAGATTTATATTTATCTCCAAAGCATAATGCTGATTTAAAGTTATAAAAAGACATATTTTAAAAAAGACATACGTGATATAGAACCGCTTGTCATAAAAAACTCTGAAAATAATGTTTGGTTGTAGATATAAATACAATAAAAGTAGCAAAACATGGTATGAATGAGTCCATCGCCTCCAGGACCGTAATCCCCCCGAGGAGGGAGGAGAGCGGGAGGAAGATGGCGAGGCAGGAAGGAGGGCTGAGCTATTCTTCCACTTATTTTTTCCAACATCGTTTTTTCCCAACGCTTTCTTACGAAAAATGTCAAAGACAATGTTGAAAGAAATCTTCCGTGAACACCCGCTATGCCCCTTGCAAGAGTCCACACCATTAACACTATACTCGATGTGCCTCATCATCAGTCTCCCCGCTTTCCAGCCCTCGTCCGTCACTCATCTTAGTTTTCAGCATTCCAGAGACCACTGCCGAGAGCATGCAGTCCTCCCGAAGCCTCCAGTGCTGTAGCTGCACTTAGAGCTCGACATTTGTGCAGTTTTCCTTTGCATGTAAAACCGACTTACAACAAAATGCACAGATCAAGTGCACATGTGCTGAATTTTAGCAAATGCAAACACACGTGCAGCCCACACGCACATATGAGGTTGTACCCCAAGACCTTACCTGGAAAACCCCCATGCCACTTCCTGTTCAAACCCCACCCCAAGCTCTCCAGAGGCAAGCAATGCTCTGCTTTTTCCACAGTAGACTAGTTTGCTCCTCTGGGACTTCAGGTGAATGGAGTCCCACGGTACCTGCTTTTCCCAAGGAGGCTCCCTTCACTCAGGGTTCCGTTCCTGGAAGTCACCCTACTGATGTATTAGGAATGCGCTAGGTTTGGGTGCTGAGCATCGTTACATTTGCAGGAAAAATGCCACCCTGTGTTTATCCGCTCTCCCGTAATGGACATCTGGGCTCTATTTTTTGGCTATGAGCATTCTTGTGTAGGTCTTCTTGTGAACAAACACTTAAACTTTTTCTGAATAAATTACCGGAGTTGGAACTGCTGGGCACCAAGTAGGTGTATGTTTAGTTTTGTAAGAAACCGCAGACCCTCTTCAAAGCGGCCACACGTGTTCACATTCCCGCCGAGGCGCGTGAGTTCCGGCTCCTGGACCTTCACACCCACGCTCGAAACTGGAGGGTCTTTTACTTCAATTGTTCTGGTGAGTGTGGAGTGAATATACATTTCCCCCACTGACTCTGTTAATGTTAGCTATTTTTTAACATTTTATTTCCTTAAAATAAGAGAAAGACACAGACAATACAGAGAAGGGAAGGAGGGAGAAAGACAGACAGGAAGAGACACAGAGAGATCCGGGGCAAATAAACGCGAACAAAGGGCTTACATCTGGGATGCGTATGCCTGGTTTCTAAAGTGTTTTCTCCACGTGGGGAGTATTTTGCAATTAAAAATAAAAATTGTATTCCACCTCCATCTTATCCCAGTGATAATTCCGTCTCTACAGGCATGCCCCCAACATCCAAGCTGTGCTGGGAGACACAGCGGTGGATCTGAGGAGAGACCAGGCAGACAGGGTATGCCCAGGGAAGGGGTCCTCCGACCAGAAGAGCTTCTTCCCAAAGTCAGGGAACTCTACCCGCCTCGGGACACGCCCACGTGGCCTGGCCTCACTCCTGGTCAGCCCTCACTTCCAACTCAGCTCCTGTGAGGCCTGGCCCACGGCTGACTCTGTGCCGGGGCCTGGCAGAGCCACCTTTCTGCCCTCTGGGGAATGGGCTTGGGTGGCGCTGCCCCTCTCCCAGAGGTCTGAGCCATGCCTGCCTGTTTGTGGAATTCCTCCGAGGACTTCCTACTGATATTGACAGAGTTTCCACAATCAAGGCCAACACTTCCCAGGTAACAGCTTTAAGAACTGAAAAGTGAAGTCTTGCCCAGGTGCCTCAGGGTCCTGAGGGGGGGCCTGGAGGCCAGCGCCCCGCTTCCTTAGACAGATGCCACTCGGCTTCACCCTGACTTCACACTTGCCTCCAAGTTGAAGCCACTGCAGAATCTTTCATGGAACCTGAATCATGACCGGGGTTCCTGTGAGGGGGAGCCAAGCCTGCCTTCCCTCTGGGGTCTCGGAGGGAGGCTTATCCCAGCGCCCCCCAGGCGGGAGGTGGGGACGCTCACCGCTGGTACTCGCCGGCGTGCAGGATGAGCTCCTCGTTGCCGCGGGCGCGGATGGTCAGCTCGTGCTCCGTGGAATTGAAGACATCCAGGAGTAGGTGGCACTGCCGGATGCTGCAGAGAGGACAAGAGAAAGCTGGGGGTCTTCTGGAAGCCAAACAGAGCAACTTAGACGTCTCCGCTTCCCAAAAGACCTCCCACTGCTCGAGGACGTCAGAGGTGCAATTTATCACAATGGCACGTTCCCCAGACGTAAGGATCACACACGCTCACTCTGAGCTAACTGAACTCTGCAAAATGGGTTTGGGCAGCAGATCCTCCCTGGTCCTGGGGACACATGCGTCGAGCCCAGCATGCCCCTGACAAACCAAGTGGCCCTGGGAAGGTAACCAATTGTTGGCATCAGGACGTACTGGCAGTTCTCCAAGCCTCGTGTATGTGAGGACTAGAAACCTGACCCGGAAGTGAGACCACCGGGGGGGAAAGCACGCGGCACACGGTGCCGATCAACAAACACTGCGTCCGAGTCATGACCCCAGCAGCAGGTGCCTGCTGCCTTCTGCAGGTATGGAGCAAGGTGCTGGGCACTGGCACGTGGAGAACCGTATCCCAGGTATGTGTGCGCACCAGCTGTGAGCCTTACACAGACTACACCTTCCTTCTCTTAAGACCTGTGAAGATACTGCAGGTTTACTCACTCCCACCCTCCTGAAACCTCCACTCCATCACACATCTCTGGTCCAGAAGGTAAACACTAACATACTCAAGCTCCCAGTGCCCCCTGCCACAGGGAGGTCCCCAAAACAAAGTTCCAGCCAATAAAGATAGGCTTCTGGAGGCTTTTTATCCCAAGAAGACCTGTCCCTGAGAGAAGAAGGCATTCACCCCTCAGGCTCCTTATTCCCTCCCCGCCCACCCTGCCCCGAGACGAACAGGATGCCGAGCAGCTCAGCACCCATCTGGAGGTATGGAGGCTATGGTTCTGAGTAGGGCCAGGAGGGGTCTGGGACGCTGTTGACGTCTTCGGTAGCTGAAGTGGCCCCTCAGAGCCTCTGGCCCTCCGGACTCATCAACTACACATGCAGAACAAACCCCAACCACACACGCATCGTCCGTGCTAGTCCCCATTTGGTAGACTCCCGTTACAGTTGGAAGGTTGCCTAAAGCTCAGCCAGTGTCTTAAATATCATGTACCCCAGCGGGCACAAGGCAAGCAATCAGTAAGTGTGTGCTGATCTGGATGGGACAGCCCTACCCATGACCAGAGCAGACACAGAAGTCAGCAACGGACGCAGAAGCCATTCTGGAGTGGGGCGAGTACTTTCTCACAGGGAAAAGAAAGACTCAGAAAAGGATCTGTGCACTGGGTCTCCTTCAGCTTACTGTGTCTTCAGAACATGACCCTCCCAAGGGCATCTCAATTCTCAAATTTACTTCTCAAGGCTTTGCCGGTAGCAAAGGAAGGGAGGAGGGCAAACAGCCCCGTGTGCTGGGGTTGCTGGCTCTTCATTTCATCTCGACGCCCTCGAGGCTGTCCTCCCCAGACCTGCGCACAGGTAAGGAAAGTGATGCTCAGCACATGGCCACAGCACCAGTAAGGTGACCGACACCGCAGACTCAGAACTCAAAATCCTGTGCTTTTCATGTAGATGGAAACAAATGTTCCAAACCTTGTGGTCTGCTCTTTCCAGGGAAGAGAACTGAGGTGGAGAAGCGGGCAGTGCCCTGGCAGAGCACACGCACACACGAGCACACGCCCATCACCATCAGAGGCCCCAGGGCATCTGTAAACGCCGACTGTTCAAGACGTGAACACATAACCCATGTGCAGGGGAGGAGGAAGGTAGGGCAGCAGCTCTCTCATTTCTGCTGCTCACTGCTGTGAGGTGTTGCGTCACATGTCCTCAGAAAAGCAGGCTCACGCTGGTTGATTCTAGGTTCTTTGGGTGGGAGTGTTTCCCCCAGAGGTTCAGCACTTGGAAAATATTCATTAGCTCTGACAGCTGCGTACAAGAGGCCTCTTCACTCGGCTCACAGAAAAATGAGCTTTCAAGAATGAAGATCTATTCTGCCTTTGTCATAACTTCATGAAATCTTTAATCACAGCAAAATCTTTCATCAGGAATGGGAATTCGTAAAACATTTATCAGAGGAGGAAAATTGAAGTGATTTTTAAAAGCAGGGAAGAAAAGACTCAAATATATGTTGTTTTCACTCACAGAATGTAGCAGCTAGAAAACTGCACAGGAATGAGCAACAGAACATCACACTTTTTTTGTCCTCTATTTCTTCTGACTCACTGAGTGTGGGGGCCTCCTGATCCAGTGTTTCTGTTCCTCCTAATTGTTGGCATCACGATGTACTGGCAGATCTCTGCTTTCTATCCATCGCTCATAAATTAATTCCCTTTCCTAAACTCCAAAGGAGCATTTTGTACCCACCATAATGTCTTTTACTCTGTGTATCTTTCTGCATCACTTTGGATGATCTTCTTAAGTTTTACACTCCATCTGAGCTTACAGTTACTTTTAATTCTAGCTTACTTTGTTTTGTTTTGTCTTTTTTCTGGTTCCATCCTTCTGAAGTATAGGGAAACCCAGGAAAGCTTCCTGGAAGAACTACATTGGAGCAAGTCTTAGAAGGACAGGCCCACCTGCCTGGGAAGGGGACGATGATGTCCAGGCAAAGAGAGTGGTGCCTGTGAACCCACGTCAATCGAGTATGTGTGCATTGCCTCCTCTGTTGAGAACTAGGAGCTGTGTTAGTTCCTCTAACAAACACAACATCTCCTGAGCACCTGCTATGTGCCAGGTACCGTTCCAGGCTCTGGGAATGTGGAGGGGAACAAGAAAAATGGATCATCACTTTCATGGAAATCACACTCTTGTGACGAGAGAAGCCTGGGAAGATGAGGTGACTACAAAATAAAATGTTTAGTCACTTTGTAAAGTGAGGCAAAATACATTCTAAAGGTTGTTAAATAGCAGGTAAAGAAACATCCATACAGCCAATAACTTTTTTTTTTCAAGCCCAGCTAGTATCTTTAAAGTGATGATTCTGAACTCTAGATCTGACATCGTACTAATGTCCGTATTCAGTAGGTCCCTGGCAGTCGGTACTACCTCTTGTTCTTTTTGTTGAGGTGATTTTTTCCGTCTTGTCATTTTGTGTAGAGGAGAATAGATTAATGAGAGAACAAAATGCTAGCAGAGTAACAACGTCCCCAGAAAATATACTCTAAACAAATCAGAAAAGACCTGAAGCAGTGGAACAAGAAACGGAAAGAGAGAAAAAAGAAAAAGAAAAAAAAGAAAAAGAAAAAGATAAAGATAAAAACAAAAACAAACAAAACAAAACAACAACAACAAAAAAAAACCAGAATGTGATCAAATATGATCAGGCTGGTATATAGATCAGTGCCACACACTAGATTTGGGGTGTATATTGGTCTTTTAGAAGAAAGTGCCTCCCAAAATTTTAAAGAAAGAAAAACTTATATATGTACAAAAATAAGGGTTGATATGATGAAGGGATGGAATATGACTGTAAAGATGGAAATTATAAAAAATTTTATAAAAGGAATTGATAAGAAGTTGTTTGAAAAAAGAAAGAAGAGGATTTAAAAAAAGAAAAAGAAAAAAAAAAGGGAGAGAATGTGATCAGGCAGGGGAATAGAAAACACCATATACTAGAGATTTAGGGTATATTTTAATCTGTTAGAAGAAACTATCTCAAAATTTTAAAGAGAGAACAACTTATATATATAAGCCAAAAATACGGGTAACTACTATGAAGGGATAGAATATGACTCTTCCAGAAAGTGGTCGCTTTTCTGATGAGAGAGTTGTTGCTCTTCTTTTCTTCGATCTCCTGTTGAGTTTGTAGGTGTTCAGAATGGTTTGATCCCTATCCAGCTGAATTCCTGAGAGGAGACGAAATCCAGGTCTCCTACTCCTCCGCCATCTTGCTCCACCCCTAACTTTTTTTTTTTAAAGATTTTACTTATTTATTTGACAGAGAGAGAGAGAGAGAGCAAGAGAAGGAACTCAAGCAGGGGGAGTGGGAGAGGGAGAAGCAGGCTTCCTGCCGAGCAGGGAGCCCGATGTGGGGCTCAATCCCAGGACCCTGGGATCATAACCTGAGCCGAAGGCAGGCGCTTAACAACTGAGCCACCCAGGCGCCCCCAGCCAATAACATTCTTATATATCAACTAAAAGCAGTTATAAAAGAATTTTTCAAGAAAATATATTTATAATAAGAATGCATTTAGGAATAAATCTTTTTAAAAATGTTTGCAGAATGTTTATGGAGAATAGTTTTAAAGTTTTTGGTAATGGTATGAAAGACAATGAATAAACACAGAAATGTATTATGCTCAAGGATGGGAAGACAATATGTTTAAATAAGTCACCTCTTTTGAAATGTCTATAAATTCAATGAAACTCAATACAAAATCCCAACAGTTTCAGTCAAAAAGTTGACACACTGATTCTAAAATTTATATGTAAGACCAAAGGGCCAAGAACATACAGAACAATGGTCAGGAAGATGTTTGGAAAGGACTTGGCCAACCAGATATCAAGAGCTGTTATAAAACTGTAGTAATGAAGGCACTGCTGGGGGCAAGGATATATAAATACATGGAAAAAAACAGCCTAAAACAGATCCATGAATATAAGGCAACTAGATATATGACTGAAGTAGCAGTACTGGTTAATGAGAAGATTCAATAAATAGTGCTGGTACATATGATTAGGCAGACACACAGAGAAATGATATCCCTACCTCACACCAAAACAAAAATAAATTTCAAATAGATTGAATAACTAAATGTTAAACAAAATAAATTTCAAATAGAGCATATAACTAAATGTCTAAATCCTTTAGAAGAAAATATAGGTAAATCTAAATCCAAACATATCAAGAATTACATTAAATATAAATGGCCTAAACATTATAATTAATAGAGACCATCAGAAAAGACTAAGAAGGGCGCCTGGGTGGCTCAGTTGGTTAAGCGACTGCCTTCGGCTCAGGTCATGATCCTGGAGTCCTGGGATCGAGTCCCACATCGGGCTCCCTGCTCAGCGGGGAGTCTGCTTCTTCCTCTGACCCTCCCCACTCTCATGCTCTATCTCATTCTCTCTCTCAAAAAAATAAATAAAAATCTTTAAAAAAAATAAAAATAATAAAAAAAAAAGGAAAGGCTTAGGAAACCAGATTGAACCATATGTTACCTAGAATAAATCCACTTTAAATATAATGATATAGATAGGCTAAAAGTACAAGAATGGAAAAAATATGCCAAACAAACTAATTATAAAAAAAAACCAAAACCCTGGAGTATTATATTAGTATTAGATACTTCAGGGTATACTTTCAGAGCAAGGAAAATAAGCAGAGATAAAGAGGTAAGTCATATAATGATAAAAGCATTAATTCACCAAGAATACATAATAATTCTTAACATAAATCCACCTAGCTACAGAAGCTTCAAAAATACATAAAGAAAAAACTGAGAGAACTGAAAGGAGAAATGCACACAATCACAGAGTTGAAAACTTCACTCCTCTCTTAGCAATTTGACATAGCAAGTAGACACAAAGCAGCAAGGATATAGAAGAAACAACCCCATCAACCACCTGGATCTGACTGACACTGAGAGAACATTCCATCCAACAGCAACAGAACACACATACTTCTCAAGCATTCAGCAACATTCACCAGGAGATAGACCATATTCTAGGCCATGAAAAAAAATTCCTAATGAAAACTATGTTCACAAAAGCACTATACAAAGGTATTTATAGCAGCTCTATTCATAATCACAAAAAGCTAGGAGCAATCCAAAATGTCCTTCAGCTAGTGACAGAATTCACAAACTAGGGTATACCTATACAGTGGAAATCTCCTCAACAATAAAAAAAATCAAACTATTGATATATTCAACGACATGGGATAGATCTCAAAATCAATGAGGTCAGTGAAAAACCTCACTTTCAAAAGTTTATATATAGCATGATTCCATTTATATGACATTCTGGGAAAGTCAAGACCGAGATGGAGAACAGATCAGTGGTCACCTGTTCAGGGGTAGGGCAGGGCAAGA